ATAAAGCAGTAAGTGACTTACATCTTAGACGTAATATTGCTTGTTTTTGCTCAATTTTGCCAACAAAAATAGTTCTTTTCCATTTTGCATTTACTTGTACTTTTACTTTTTTAATACTTAAGTACGTTTAAGATTTAAAAAATACTTTTTGTACTTAAGTACAATAAATATCACATACTTTAAGACTTTTACTCAAGTAATATTCTAAACGGTGACTTCAACTTCTACCAAAGTCATTTTCTGGTAAGATATCTGTACTTTTACTTGAGTATGGCTTTCAGGTACTTTATACACCACTGGACATGGAAAGTATGAATTCACTGTTATCTTTTCAGATAGGTGTCTGGAGGCCAGAGTTAAACATATCCAAACACTCTTTCAATTCCTATCTATTGACAAACCTATATAACTTTTCTACACTATCAGCTTGATGTTTGACAAACAACAAAATGGCAAAGAAAGTCTAACAGGGATACACTAAAGGAGAACGTTCAATATACATTCTAGAGGACAGAATATTACAGAGTACCTTCAGACTTGGGCCAGTGAGCAACGCCCTAAAAACCACATAAAACACCCAACAACAGAAACAGCCTTCTAATGCAATGAAAACACTCAAAACACACCAGCAACTTAATATTTTATAAAAAAAACCCCGGCCCTATTTGTAAGGACAGTGTGTGTATATTTATATTTATATATATAAAATGAGGGGCTAAAAATCTATTAATTCATTAAATCTGAATCATTTTAACTCAACATTAGAAATAAATTTAACTTGAAAAAATTGAATGTTGTGATTTGAATGTCAGCTCTGGAATAGGCATTTTAATTAAGTCAATTGTGACTGAAATTTCTGAACATTTACTCTTTATGGCAAACTTGTTTACACACACATTCACCCTGCAATAACTACTGATTTTGTTCCCGTAAATACAACGCCAAACTGCATTTTAATGGTGAACTGTCATTTCTAAGAATCCTTGTTTACCTGCTGCATCTTCAAGGCTTCCCTTGTGTACGGTTGCCACACCTGCACAGCAAGACGCTCTTCATTATAAGCCCTATAACCAGAGATCTAATTACCACTGCTGAAGCTAATGAGGGCCAACTGGGTTTGGCATTAATTTAATTACATTTTTGAATAAAGGTGTTCTGGAAAATCCTTGGTCCTCTCATAATGCTTTTGTGATATGTTTTAAAGGGATAGTTTATCCAAAATGAAAATGATGCCATCATTTACAGACACTCGTGTTGTTGTATGACTTTACTTCTTTTGCAGAACTCAAAGGAAGATATATTGAAGTTGTGAAGTTGTCAAACAACTCACTGATTTCCATTGTATGGACCAAAAAAAATAAAAAAATTATTTTGTAGTATCAATTATTTAAGTATCTTCTTTTGTGTCCCACAGAAAAAAAAGGTCATACAGTTTTTAAACGACACGAGGGTGAGTAAATGATAACAATATCATTTTTGGGCAGACTATCCCTTTATCTGATGTGTATCCCATCCTGGAGCCAATCACCCACCCACAGTCTCTTGCCTGACAGTTTTGGCCTCTAATTTTCTCTAAGTCAAACATATATTTTACTGGTATATTTTACAAACACATATTTTAAGCAGATAATTACATATATTTAACATGACTAAATTAAAAACTGTTAAGACAAAAATAGCATTTCTAAAAAATGATTACCTTTCCTACTCTTAACTGGACTGGCATATGTGAAATGCTGTTCACTCAGTACACTTGTGTATTTTCCCAGCTGTCTGTGACTACTGGATAGGGCCTATATATATATATACACACACAGTGGGTACGGAAAGTATTCAGACCCCCTTAAATTTTTCACTCTTTGTTATATTGCAGCCATTTGCTAAAATCATTTAAGTTAATTTTTTTTCCTCATTAATGTACACACAGCACCCCATATTGACAGAAAAACACAGAATCGTTGACATTTTTGCAGATTTATTCAAAAAGAAAAACTGAAATATCACATGGTCCTAAGTATTCAGACCCTTTGCTCAGTATTTAGTAGAAGCACCCTTTTGATCTAATACAGCCTTGAGTCTTTTTGGGAAAGATGCAACAAGTTTTTCACACCTGGATTTGGGGATCCTCTGCCATTCCTCCTTGCATATATATACAAAAAGCAACAAGTTTATCAAACCAAGTGCAAATTATTAGAACAACATTAGAAAGCAGTCTGGACTCAAATAGTCGCTTGACCTTCTTTTGTTACCAGACATTAATTCAAGGATGAATGGCGATAGCAGAAAAAAAGGGACATAAAAACAACATGCCATGCATCCGAACACTTGACTCAAAGTCAAATATCCAAAATACTTGGCAAAAGTTGCATCTACATGCAATGTTAGAATGGAATGAGACCATTACTTTAAAATGCAACATGAACGACTGACTAAAGTTTAGCCTTGGTGTGAAGTGTAGGCAGGGAGTCAAGGAGACCATGAAAAAAACTTTCCCAGAGCAGCTCCCTCTTCACAATGAATGTTATTTGTCTACTGCACAAAAACAAGGCATGCACTCTGTCCTTGAATAGAAAAAAGGCTACAATTCTGTACTCCAATAAACAATTCTAGCCACATTTGCATCAGTACTGAAACTGGCTGGAATATTTAATCATAAAACGTTTTATCAGGACTGTATGTCTGCTCGTCCATCTGTAGAAAAGAAACATTTCACTTTGTATCCTTTTTCAAATTTCAAGCCATGATTTATGGATAGATCTGTGGGGGGACTTGTCCTCTGAAATACACAATAAATTGACAATCACTTCCACTTCCAGACGGTTTATGAAAGAGTTCACTCAGAAGCCAAAAATGTAAGTTTTGTAACCTAATGCAACAATGACAACAGAAATTGTTTTCCGTTTTATCATTTCATGTGCGAAGACAGACTCCTTCTGTTTCATCTAAACACAAGTTTGTTTGTCTAAAGCAGGCTCTGTGCAGCCCACAACACAGAAAAAAACTTGTGTGACACATTGGTAGTGCCTTCTGAATAACAAAACATCCATCAATGTCTGGTTTAAACAATATGGGTTTCATTAAATGGCTGCATAATTTGTATAATTAGTTATAATTTATTGCCCCTTGAGAGATAAGATCAAATGTTTCACAACTTTATTCAAAATAGCAACTTTCTAAAAAAAAAGTTTACACTTTGAAATCTGAGATGACCAACAAATGGAGATATTTAAAACGAAATACTTCCAACCAGAGGCGTCATGCCCATTCAAAGTGAGGGGGGGCACGTGCCCGCCCCCTCAGAATTTTTGAGCCAGATGGATTTTGAATGCATCTTCCAAAAGACAAAAAAAAAAATAGCCGAATAATATTTTTAATATTTGATACGATCACACTGGTGTTATTAGATCATTCAGTACGTCGATCACATCACCAGCTGCTAAATTCAAATCTGCGTTCGCTGGCTGGCGCTGAACCAGAGACGGACGGCGTTTTTACAGCACTGCGCATTAACCAATCACACAGTGCTGTTGAGCTTATGAATGCAATGACCAATCAGAGGTGGTCAGACGAGTCATCGCTAAAATGCAGGTGTTTTCTTTACTCGCTCGCTGACTGGCGAATTCTCTCACCAGAAACAACAAAGTGCAGACGTGTGTACGAATTTGTAAGTTAGATACTCATTTCACAGTGTAAACAGCTTCAGTGATTTTAATGGGAGTTTTTGAGAGTGCTTGAACTCTAAACTGAAGTCAGTGAAAATGTTTTTTTGATAATGTAAATGTTCTTTGCTCTCTTTCTGTACAATGAAAGTGTTATGATTTTAGCCCAACTTACAATGTCTTTACTCGCTCGCTGACTGGCGAATTCTCTCACCAGAAACAACAAAGTGCAGACGTGTGTACGAATTTGTAAGTTAGATACTCATTTCACAGTGTAAACAGCTTCAGTGATTTTAATGGGAGTTTTTGAGAGTGCTTGAACTCTAAACTGAAGTCAGTGAAAATGTTTTTTTGATAATGTAAATGTTCTTTGCTCTCTTTCTGTACAATGAAAGTGTTATGATTTTAGCCTAACTTACAATGTTTTTATTAAATTCACATTAAATACAAAGTCAGTCGTACTAAAAATATTTTATGGCATGACACCCTGTTACTTAAGTAAATAGACAGGTTTTTATGCATAGTTATAGATTACATTATTAGGCTACTTTGACCATCGCCCAGTATAGATCAACATAATCTATAAAGGTGGAAAATGCAACTATTTACACATATTTGAGACCCGAGATAGACTCGAATTTGAGCCAATTTCAAGATTTAGTTAACACGTGTGGGATTTTTTCGAATAAAAAGGAAAAAATAAATAAAACATAAGTGCTATTGTTCCCCCCTCACAAATAATGAAAGCATGACGCCCCTGCTTCCAACAGATTCAAATATAACACTTGGGATATGTATAAATGTATTATTAAAAGAAACATTACAACTATTTCCTTAAAACATAACTAATGGAATTCCAAAAATGCAGCTCTTTTTTTTTAGTTTTTAAAGCTGTCTGTCCACTTTTTGTCAACAGATATGAATGAAAACATTGTAATCAAGTGAATCAGACCTCAAATGGAGGGTCATTTTTCCATATTCCACCTGTTATGAGCTCGCCATTATCTGACCGTTTTGAACCATATACCGAGTGGTTCGCAAGAAAAACGTGAGAAATTGCTTGTTATACTCAAGTACCCTTACAAAACTTTTCTTTAATTCACACAGTTTGCTTGATTAGACAAGTGCGCACGTTCACTTCGCCGAGAGAGAAAGGGATGCAAAACGCATTTTCAACGAAGAAAATGGTGGGATAGCATAGAACGACTCTTTAGGTTTAATTTAACCCTCGTGGCAAAACAAATACTATTTCCAAAGAATGAAATCATAGATTTAAGTGATTAAGCTTAGTCTTGCATACAGACATAAGTTACAAAACGCCAATCAAATCTTTGTACCGACCTGCACGACGCAGTAAGATCCAGAACAAAAGACAACGACACAGCATACTTTCTGATGAGGATTTTACTCCTTGGAACCCGCGCTGGTTTTAATGGTGATGCCACAACAGCACGGACTTTTTGCAGAGACCACTGCAACCCGGCGGACACCTTCAGAACTGGGCGGTCACTCCAGAAGGGGTAGGATCTCCACGCAAGAGTTGGTATCTTGCATAAAGTTGAATTCATCTTACATACAATTTAAGCACAAGCGAAAATATAAAATATGCTATATTTGGGACCCAGGCACAGACTTTTGTTCTCTGTTGAGGACATATTTGAGTGAATTTCTCTACATGCCACAGCTTGTCCTGTTCAGAGCACATTCAAGGCTTTTCAGAGATATCAAATGTTTGGAGGTTTGATCAGAAACACTCCCTCTCCTTGGTCTTTAAATATGACTGAGATTGACAGACTGATAAAACTTAGCACTCTTAGGAAAATATGATAATGTTTTGTAATTATAATTTAAATCGAGCTAATAGTTTATCGTAAATAAACAGCTCAGAAAAATCGTACGGGGTTTCAAATCAGAATATGACTTTTTGTTACGAAACGGCGTAATTTTCATTCATGACTTCTGTAGAGGACACCTGGACAAACAACATGCGAATCAGTCATTTTGGGGAAACAACAAGTCTATTCATAGTTTTCACGTGACATCGCATTCTTACAGGAACCCCCACATGGAGGGCAAAGCAAGGCTTTCCTCTACTGACCGCCAGTTATTTTTTATGAGGTTTGCATTAAGTAGGCTAGTAATGTAGTAAGACAGTGATATTTAAAGGCCAAATTCAGTATACACTTATTGATGATGCATACTTTGTACAGGCAAGCAGATGAACCCAGAATATAAACGCATATTGGCAAACTTTAAAGGGGTCATATGACGCGATTTCAATTTTTCCTTTCTCTTTGGAGTGTTACAAGCTCTTGGTGCATAAAGAAGATCTGTAAAGTTGCAAACACTAAAGTCTCAAAACCAAAGAGATATTCTTTATAAAAGTTAAGAGTTAACCACGCCTACCTAAAACGGCTCGTTCTAACACGCCCCCACATGTCTACGTCACGATCTGGGAAGATTTGCATAACGCCGCCCAAATGTTCACGCAAAGAAAGAAGGCGTAACTTTGATTCTCGCTGTAGTATTGTTGACGCTGCAGCCATGTCCTGAAGGCGCTGTGTGCTTCATTGTGAAAGTGAAACTACTTTGTTTGGTCTTCCAAAAGAGGACGATATCCGCTTCGTCATGCCTAGAGCTGATCTGTGCCGGTCGCTGAGGAAATACATCAACTTTCACCGTGGACAAATGTGGAAAATAATGTGTTTTTTGAAGTTTAAACCGCATAAACACATTTCATTACACCAAATACACAAAATAATGTTATTTTTAGCAGCATCATATGACCCCTTTAATATTAAATGTTTTCCCATAGAACACCATTATAAAGAAGATGCTTAACTATTTAGCGCATTGCGTTTATATTCCGGGCTCATTTGCTTGCCTGTATAAAGCAGGCATCATCAATAAGGTGTGTAGCCTACTGAATTTGATCTTTTAATAACATTGTTTTAAAGGCACTTTAAGTGTTTTCACATTAAACATTTTAGAATATCCCACTGTTTTAGTATAGTGATTTAAATATTGCGGCGGGTGCTTTATATGGATTGCTAATGGCCAAAACTTGCATTTTGTTCTTTGTTTTATTCTTTTGAGAGGTGATTCAAATATTTTTGGATTGGAATGTTTTGCCCGCCGAGTCTTCGAGCCAGTCACGTGACTGAAACTTCTGGCTTCAGGTCTCATCCGCGTCCCGCTATTTTTAGCTGTACAAAACAGCTCGTTTGGTCGCTTGATATTGCAAACTGGTGTTTCTTACCTTATTATTTTAATGTATTATCTTAATTGTGAATACTTGTTTGTAGTGCAGACAGTCTTACTGTTTACTGCACATTGTTATTCTTCTCGTTATTCCCCTACAGCGGCTAATAAACCGGAAGTCTCACCCATAGGCTTCCTTCCGCGTTGAAGAATAAGGTGGATAGGGAAAGAAATTATCCACAAGTTTCCTACACCCCATGAGGCCTTGCGTCAAAAGTGGGAGCGTCTTCTGGTTCGAAGTAAACAATCGGGACGTGACAGACTCTGCGTTCCATTCGGAAGGGCTCATCCCTATAGGGTTTACCCTCAGGAGTGAGAGCTTCGAAGGTATGAAGGGTGTAGGGGTCAAAAAAACTCTGTTTTTGGAACGCACTTCTGCGTCATCTTAACGGGAGGATCAAGGAGGTGCCTTCGTCACACATTTTGTACGCTGGTTGACCCACAATCGTCTTTTATGTTAAATATAATCTATATTTGTGTATGTAATGTAATGCAAAATGTATTTGTAATGTATATTGTGTCTATGTATTTGAAACATTTGAATGGACTGATAAAGGTAGCTGTATTTTTGTATTTTTGTTGAAGTACAATGTCGTTTTGACCAACCATAAAAATGTACCAAATCTAACTTGTATAAATATTACAGTAGTATAGAAAAATACTATGCATACATTTATCTGTGAAGTCGAACTCTGTGACGCCAAACAACTTCCCTGTGCAAAGGATCATGGGGGCCTGAAGTGTCCATCAGTTGTACCCTTTGAAATCCTTCATTCTGAAAGGCAGGTGAGTTTTTGTAAAGGTTTTCTGTAGTCATGCAGCAGCACTTTTGTGGAAGATCAGTAAAGTAAGTACAATTAAGGACACGAAAATTGTTTATTGTATTGTGATATTATTGAAATAGCAGACCCTCCGCTAAACTGAAATGTTTACTGTGTGTCATTCATGTTCTGCATATGTTGCTTCATGCTTCACTTCACTTAAAATCTTTAGTCTAAGATTGTTGGATTATAAAATTAGCACACAAAATACTAGGGATGCGACGAAATTGAAATTGTATTAATTAATATAAAGTAATTTTGTAAGACTTTTTAATTTAACTCAACAATTTTAATGATACTGAATTTAAAAAAAACACAAGCCAATGAAATAACCACACTTTTATTAAAAGTAACACAAAAAATTAGACAGAAAATATATTGATATTAAATATCAATATATTATTTTTATTCAGTATTATCAGAGCATCTGAGCAGAGCATAACTGGGAGCAGCTCAGTGAATGCGAGGGTAGCTCATTTTACCAGCGTTGCACAGTACAGCTGTACTACACCATGTTACAGCACAGTAGCGCTATTGCAAACAGGAACAAGTACACTACATAGACATTTTCTGCTGACTTTGCTTTTCCGGTGAGCATGAGCGGAACGCACAATTTGTTTTTATTTTTTACTATGAGCATTATGTCAACCAATAAGAAAACAGTTGCAATACAAAAATACAAAATAATAATAATAATAAAATAAAATAATTTAAAAAAAAATTATAATAAAACAATTAAATTACTAGACAGGGGTATAGAATTAAACAAAACACATTGCATTCAAAGGAAAAGATTAAACAGCTTACAAATTTCAATAGTTTTTAAAGCCTTCTTAATTCATGAGTTAGAGATAGTCTCAAAGTAATGCTGTATTTCAGCAAGCAAAACATAAAACAGTGGCTTTTGAAATTAAAATTTACATTTTTGTATATACAATTTTGTTAACAAAATAAGGAGATTAAGTAAGTACAATTTGTTTTTCTGTAAATGCACTTTTTTTTTGGAGCGGAACGCACATTCATAGAGCGGAATATTGAGCGGAGCGTCACAACGCGCAGTGACGACAGTGTTGCCAAGTCCGCGGTTTTCCTGCGGAACTCCGGTAGCTACTTTAACACTGTTGCCACGGGTTGTTTTTCATGTCCGCGGGTTGAAGCGACTCCAATAACATAATATTTATCCCCTGGAATGCGTGTATTTTACCCTCGAAACGCGATTTTTAATTGTGGACCCCCTCGAAACGCCATTGGGCTAGTTTTGAGTAGCGATTGGGCGGGTTTTCCTGGCAACCCTGGACTAGAGGGAGCGTGAAACCTGCGCGCTGCACACTGCTGGGAGGTGCGGCGCGCCGTATATTTTCTGTGACCGAAATTTTGGTGCATCCCTAATTATGCTCCATGCTGAGGACAGTCTACTCATGATTTTGCACTCGATCATGCACAGTGGGGAAATGAATGTCTGTTGTCGTTTCCATGAATGCTTTTGGAGTAATGTTTATGTTGAGGTCTGTTAGGCAGTCAGTTTTTCCTCAGTAGACTTATTTATGGATGTTATTTTTTTTTTATATAGTCCATTAGGACTTAGCTATGGTAAAATTCAAGCCAGGTAGGGTGGTTCCTCTGGCTGTCATTACATCTCAACCGCTACACCTCAGTGTTTTTGTAAATGCCCTGTACAATTATATATTTGTTACATGTTAAGGTGCAACAAGTAATGCTTCTTCCAAAAAAGTTTTATAGTGGTTGTTAGAGTGTAAATGACACTCATATGAGATGAAGACTCCAAGGGCTTAAAAAAGTGAAGTCAATCCCCCCATTAAGGAAGCTGTGTTACATCACGACCAGCAGTGTCTTGCAATTTAATCGATGTCAGATTTTTGGTTTAGGCCACAAAAAAGAGACAGTGAAACATAAACGTACTTGGTGCACTTTTAACTGGAGTCGTAATCTTCTTTAAAGTTCCTTTAAAAGCATGTGTTTTCCCCCTACAGGAAGGCCGAGACTGAGATGTCATGTGACGAGGGATCCCCAGAGCCCCCTGTTCTTAAAGTCTTCAATCGCTGGCTGTTGTTTGAAGCCGTATCTCGAGCAGATCGAGGAGCTCTGGATGGTCTCCTGCAGTATCTTCAGTCACATGAAAAGAGGCTGATAGATGAGGAGTTCAAAGGTGCATTCTGGGAATGGTTTAGTCTATGAGCAAAGAGCAGTAAGTGTATGTTTAGGTTTGCTGTCCAGAATTCAGACTGAACAATGATGTCGTAACAGTTTTATGTGGGTAAGAAACTGTTAATAGGAAATTTTACAAAGGATCATGGGGGCCTGAAGAGTCCATTAGTTGTACCCTTCGAGATCCTTCATTCCGAAGGGCCCATTGAAGTGGCCAGTTTTGAGCACTTCGGTTTGGAACGACCCTTCAATTTGGTAGCCATGATTGTTTTCACTTCAAAGTGCCCTTCAGAGGGCGATATATCCCGTTTGGAATGCACCGACTCATTCATTCGATCCAAACTTCCTAACGATGTGGGAACACAACTTCAACCAACTTATAAAGGGTGAAATAGCAGTACCTTTACCCTCCGCTAAACTGAAATGTTTACTGTGTGTCATTCATGTTCTGCATATGTTGCTTCACAGTAGCCTTCACTTAAAATCTAGTGATTTAGTCTAAGATTGTTGGATGATAAAATTAGCACACAAAGTACTTGGGATGCACCGAAATAAAAATTCTGGGCCGAAACCGAAAATTCTGGATGCACTTAGCTGAAAACCGAAACTGCTTTGTAATAATTCATTATTATTTTATTAAATAATATAAAGTAATTTTGTAAGACTTTTAATGAAAGTGACACAAAAATATCAATATATTATTTTTATTCAGTATTATCAGAGCATGTGAGCAGAGCATAGCGGGGAGCAGATCAGTGAATGAGAGGGTAGCGTCATTTTGCATGCGTTGCCCAGTACAGCTGTACTACACCATGTTACATACAGTAGCGCTATTGTAAACAGGAACAAGTTTACTACATAGAAATTTCCTGCTGGCGCGTTGAGCGGACTTTGCTTTTCCAGTGAGCATGAGCGGTACATGAGCGGCACGCACATTCATAGAGTGGAATATTGAGCAGAGTGTCACAGTAACGGCGGCTAGAGGGAGAGAGAACA